GTGAATGGTGATATATGTCCTAACAAACATGTGAGGATGCCTTAGAGGTGTACACGTGTTGGCTTCGGATTTGGGGTCGTGGAAAAAATATTTGTAATATATATGACGTCTTATATTCTGGAATTATTATGGACAAATAATTAGTAAAAACATCCCAATGTATGCACTCAGAAATGAGGATCTATCTTGGATATGACATGTAGACCATGTTAAATGATAGAAGTGAATCAAGTTTGCTGGCTGATTTGATTGGTTTTTGAGCTATAATTGGTGTCATTTTAACTAAATTAAATTGGTCACGTACATACGTATATTATTATTAATAAGGATTAGGATAAGTGTCAATTATACGTCAAAAAAAAAAAAAAAGTGTCAATTAGATCTATTAATTTTGTATAAGATGTAAATATCGGTTTTGTTAAGTTTATTGTATTAAATAATATATCCGGTAATTAAGCTTATATAAGTTCGTGACTACTATTGATTAATTGTATGCACGGTGCATAAGATAATTTCATGTACATCTAATTTAATTACATTTTTAAATTTGCCTTCTTTGTATAATCCACTATTACTCAACGGTTGTCATTTGAGCCAACTTCTTCTTTGACGTTGACAATAACAACTCTAAGGATTTTTATTTCCCTATTTGATGCTAGATCAATTAAAAGGCAACTGTATTATTATCCTTTCTATCATGTAAAGAAACCCATTCATGCACATATATATTAACTATTAAGTAAAGAGTTTATTTTCTTAATCTTGGGAGACAACTTTTTGATGAAAAATATTGATTTTTCCTTAGTTATGATAATATGATTCATGTATGTCTCTTGGTGTAATTCTACCTTCCTCTTTTTGTAGGCCTTGTTTTGCTCTCTTTATTTTCAATGATTTTAGATTATATATAAGTTCATGATCATTAAGTTTAGAAAAAAGCAAGGTTAATGAGAGAAATTCAAGTTTAGTATAATTAAAATCAAAATATCTCCAAATAAAATCATCATTTAATTCTTATATAGTTATACATGTGAAAATTAAGTGAATAGAATAATAATGCACTCTTGAATAATAATGTCCTTATTCGCACTAACCAACTCTTTATTTATGACATGCGTGTAATGTAGCTTTATTTAAACAAGAATACTCCGCATTATAATTGAATACACTAAAGATCCTTGGGTCTCCTCTCAATGGTACCAACTTCAATTCAATCTTCTAGGGAAAACCCGAGTTCAAACTAGGAGCAATTGCATGTACTAGACCAAAAAATTACAAGGCATCCTGACCTAGCCTGCATGTTCTAAACCCAAAAAATGCTATTGAATCTTTTTCTAGCTTAGCTAACACAAAATTACAATAACAATGCATAAACTCGATTCTAGCTAGCCAAGAACATACAGTTGACCCATAACTAATAATTCTTCAAAAACCAAGATAAATCCGCAAAGTCTTATATGTAGCTGGCCACATGGTGTGGTCATCCATCATGAGGGTTACTTCATTAATGTTATAAGGGTTACTCGTTCAATTTAACATGGGTTACTTCGTTAGTGTTATAGGAGTTATTCGGTCAATATTACAGGGGTTACTCGGTCAATGTTTATCTATATATTCAACGGCAAAATCATACATGCATGCATGATATATATGTTGTTGCTTCAGAAGATCAGATATCACTCACACCCAAAACTTTTGATGCACACATGGTGTGTACGTGCACATTGCACAAATACCTACGAATTAAAAGAGATCATAATTAAATTAAAATTAAATTAAATAACAAGTTACTAATAATATGATCAAATACATATATGGGACCCACCACTAATTATATGGTTTAATTTCATCATAATACATATCTTAAAATGAAGATCAGAATATAATCTGAATGAAAAGGGAAGATCAGATAACAATCTGTTGGTACATCTCAATACTAAGAAGCTTAGGATATGGGGGGATGTATAAAGACTTTAATTTGCTTGCTAATTAGGTGGATATCTTTAAAAGCTAAACACTATTTTAGAATAATCTCCCTTAATTTAAAGATACCTTTGATGATGGACTACTACTATTTGTCTACAAATCTTCTTAATCATTGGGCTTAGTAACGTAAATCACTTTTTGGTCTAATTATAATATTATTAGGTTTCAGTATGTATGCTTTTTTTTTTCCTTCCTTATACTCGTATACATTATTGTGTCATGATTCATGATGAACTTGGTTGCTAGAATGATTAATAAATTATACGTTGTAACCAAGCAAGTTTGGTGACTGGTGGGAATTATCCCTTGTGAATTATTTTTAGGAGTAGGAGATTTTCTTATCTCCCCCTCTGCATACTCTTTTATATATATATATATATATATATATATATATATATATATATATATATATATATATATATATTGGCGGACTTGGCCTTATGCCTGGTGGGTCAAATGACTCACCAGGGCCCAAAATATTTTTTAAGTTTTTTTAAAAAAATAAATAAATAAATTATTTTCTAAGTTTTTTTTTTAAAAAAAAATACTAACTTTGAACCTTTTGTTAATGTTGTTGGGTTTTTGATGAAATGTGAACCTAGTGCTTGTACAAATTTTAATCTTGTCAATTATTAGTTTGTTAATTATTAGAGAGCTAAGCTTGTCATGTTGTCAATTATTAGCTTGTTAATTATTAGTTTGTTAATTTTAGTCTTGTCAATTTTAAGCTTGTTAATTATTAGTTAGTACTGTAATCTTGTCAATTTTCTATTTGGATGATCTTTGTAAATAATTTTTCTTGGAAATTTTGGTAAATTTTTTCTTTTTACATATTTGGTTATCAATTGTGACTCACCAGTCGGAAATTCCTGGGTCCGCCACTATATATATATATATATATATATATATATATATATATATATATATATATATATTGTAAGCATATAATTAAACATAAAATATATTTCTTATAGTAGTATTAATTTTGAAATTAATGACAAAATTGCGCGTTGAGCAGTATTATTTAAGTTAGTTAGTTAGTTTTTTTTTATTTTTGGATGATGTATTCTTTAAGTTTGATAATTTACTTTGCAAGGTGCTTTCATATAATTATATACAGAATTATATATTAAATTTAACAAAATGCATTGACAAAAAAAATGGTATCTAATGTAAGGGAGTAGTTCTTTTTTATGTAAGAGAAATTTCCTATCATTCAGAACTACTCATTAATAACTTGACTCAACTTAGTGGACTAGACATTTTGAGAGTGTTAACTTGACTCAACTTAGTGGACTAGACATTTGAGAGAGTGTGTGTGTGTGGGGGGGGGGGGGGTGGGGGGATAAAGGGGTCTCCATCCTTAAAGTATATCTCTAATGAAAATAAACCCTCAATTCATGATTGACAGGATGTTTTATTCACCTGATTTTCACTTATCAAAACTTAGAGTGTGTTCTATTCACCTGATTTTTAATTTTTTTTTTTTTTTTTTGTTTAACCCATTGTTAGTGTAAGGGAATAGTAATTGTATGATTGAGTGTAATTTGACAACCTTAAACGAAGCATCATTTGACTCATTTCAAATAGATTAAGAAACTTGAACTCACAAAGAAATTTGGATCCATTGAGCCCAAGGAAAAAATGTTACTTAAACCACTAAGAAAGTAAGAGGTAGTAGGGTCCAAGGTCCACTTCTGACATGGGGCCTTATTTTTTTTTTTTTTTTTTTTATTGACAAGACTCACAAGAGGGCCTTAACTATTGACGGTTTTTGTGATGATCAAATAATAACATACTTTTGTACTTCGGTACTTCGTATATAAAGTGACACTCCATACTTTTACAATAATGTCTCTCTCGAAAGAAAGGGTTTATCTTCTTTGAAAGATAAGATTTTTTTGATCTCCTTCAAAAGATAAGGTTTTTCGATCTCCTTCGAAAGACAAGGTTTTTCAATCTTCTTCGAAAGACAAAGTTTTATTTGTGTTCAATTTGGTCTCTACGATTGATTTTTGCTCGGATTCGAGTTACGAAATCAGTACAAGAACTTTCTCTCTCACAAAATTACGATCGGCGACGAATCAACTCAAAAAGTTGTATGAGACAACGAATCGAGAATGTGCCGAATTGTTATATTTATGTATTTGGATTCTTAGCCCTCCCTAATTAATTCTTGTTTGATTTTGAAAAAATCTTTTTCATTATCGTTAATTGTCAATTGTAGATGTCGCATGACTTTAATTAATGAAATTTAGTGTCGACTTCTTTCAAAAAAAAAAAAAAAAAAAAGGTAACACTCCATTCGTCTCTAACCACAATTACTTTGTAATTTTCTTATAAATTCGATAAATTAGTGTGTTAGTTTATTGGGACAGAGGAGTAATATTTTTATTTTCAATGAAACTAGAACATTTACTTTATTAGTTTATTGGGACAGAGGAGTAATATTCTTATTTTACTCCGTATTTTAAGTGACATACTACCTTTTGTCGAATTTGTAAGAAAATTATATTGAGAAATTAAACTAAGAAAGGGTAAATGCTCATCAATAAAGCAAAAACTAACTTGTTGTGTAAAGGGTCTGGCCACCTAGACGACACAAGAACGCGTACGAAATAAGGTACATTTACAAAATAAATACTCCGTGTGATATTGGATAATATGCTAGTTTTAAAAAATAGTGGATATGTGTACGACCAATTAAGTATTATAATCGTGTGATATTGTCTTGAAAATAAGCTTTTCATAAACTTTTTTTTTTTTGAAAGAAGCTTTTCAGAAACTTTGAATAACTCTTGATAAATTTTACTTTATTTATTCAAATAAGATGAATAAATTCAAAACAAAGTACCTGATATCCATAAAAAGGTTCGAATACAATGATGAATTGAAGTACCCATATTATTCGGCAGTGGACTGGGCTGATATCAAGGCAAAGTGACATATATGGACTGCCTAATTGGGCTCAAACAAACAATGTGTTTATGGAAGCATTCATTCAGTTATCACAATATTCAGAAATGAAGATAAGAAGCTAATGCCCTGCCTTTCATTTCCTTCTTCTTACTCACTTCCACAAACATAGAAATAGAGAGAGACTGACACTCTGAACTTCTCTATTTTCTGGGTTTATCCTACTTTTTCCTGTGACTTTCAATTTTTAATTTCCAAATTTTATCACCCCTTTTGTTGGGAGATTTTTATTCTTAACACAATTACAAAGGTACGAGCTTTCTCTTATTGTACAATACTTCCTTTTTATGCAATTTAGTTTTCAATTTTTTCCTGCTTGATATTGAATGTTTCTTTGATTATTATGGGTTTATGTTGTGTTCTTGATTCTGGGTTTTTTTTCTTCTTCTGAAATTGTTGTATTTGTTGATTAATCATGCGTTTGAGCTACTAATTGTGAAATTTAAGAATTTATCTGTTAATTTAATTTAAATTGCTCATAGTTCAGCTTTATTTAAATGCTTTAGTCAATTGCAGTTGCTGGATTTTTATTTAGTACGATGCATGTTTTAGGTGTAATAATGCTAAAAGCAAATTTCTCTGTTCTAATTCATTTCTAACCCGTTTGATAAAACTTCCCATTGTTGTAGAATTATCAATTTTGAACTGGGGTTTGATAAATTGTGATAAAATTTGCTGTAATTTTGCTCTCCCCAGTTTAGAAGAACTTATTTTTGTGATAATTTGTCGACTTGAAAAATGCAATGTAATTTGTGGCAATTGGCATTTGTAAATTATATAGCATGACCAAGTAATGGGGTTAGTTTGGTTTGGCTAACATATTGATTTTATAATTTAAACAAGCCTCACTTTTGCTGTGTTTTGAGCTTTAGATTATTGACCTTATATGCTAGGAGTCATATGATGGTATTTTTGGTGGTTTTAGTAGCATATGGTTGGTATTTACACAACTGAGTGCCTTTGATTTCCTGGAAGACTTTCAACGCGATGTAAACCTTTGCTTCAAAGATTTAATGAAGATGAGTGTTTACTCGAGTTTCTAGTAAATGAAATTGTTTAATTAAGGCATTGACCAGATGATATTATATGTAGATGCCATACTGCAAGAAGCAAGTTTAGTATGTTAGCAATTTTTGTTATGTGGATCGTTTATCGTATGCTATTGCTATCCAATATCCATACTATGCTTCTGGTGAAGAATGAGGAACGTGTAATGTATAGTGATAATGGCATGGCAATGATACAATACAACTTTTATCTTATTTATAATTCCAGCAACATTTCATCATGTTAGAAATCTTTAGCAGTGTTGAAATGTTCTAAGTATGTTGGATAATTGAAGATTCTGATCATTGTTTTTCAGGTACATAGATGATCTGCTAATTTCAGCAAAACAAAAAAGAGGAGACCATAACTTTATGCACTAGCCTAAATGACGCCTGTAATTCCTTGTTCAGTGAGCAATATTTCATTTATTCCTGGAAATGCATTTACGACAAGGAAGAGCAGGTGTTTTTCCAGATACTCTGGAAACCTTAAAAGGTCTTTATTATCCTCCCAAAAACATTCTATAGCCCTTCCACAAAGCATCACAGTATTTCAACAATTGAAAAATGGATGTTCAAGAATTCAGAAATTATCAGCCACAGGGGCAGATGTTGTGTTAGAGGAACAAGGTTCATCAGTGGCAGATGAAGCATCTACTGGACCACCTGAAGAAGTTCAGACAAATGAGGAACCCTCCACTAAATCTGATGCAAGTGCTGCTCCTGCTCGGGTCAAGAGAAGACAAGGCAGGAAGAGTGAGATGCCACCTGTTAAGGACGAGGACCTAGTTGCTGGGGCAATGTTTACTGGGAAAGTGAGGTCGATACAGCCGTTTGGTGCTTTTATTGATTTTGGAGCATTTACAGATGGTCTGGTGCATGTTTCCCAATTAAGTGCTAGCTTTGTAAAGGATGTCAATGATGTGGTTTCTATTGGCCAAGAAGTGAAAGTGAGACTATTAGAAGTGAATACTGACACAGGGAGGATATCTCTCTCAATGCGTGATGATGATAGTAGCAATAAGCCCCAGCAAAAGAAAGATGGTAGCAGTGACAAGGATAAATCACCTAGAAGGAGCTCTACTAGAAGTTCTCAGAAGAGAGAAGATGTGAAGAAAACCAAGTTTGTCCAGGGGCAAGATCTTGTGGGCACTGTTAAAAATTTTGCACGAAGCGGTGCTTTTATATCTCTTCCTGAGGGAGAGGAAGGTTTTCTGCCGACATCAGAGGAACCAGATGATGGTTTTGGGAACGTTATGGGGAACACATCGCTGGAGGTTGGGCAAGAAGTTAATGTCCGTGTGTTACGTATTTCAAGAGGCATAGTAACATTAACCATGAAGACAGCAGAAGATGTGAACAAGCTCGATTCAAAGTTGAATCAGGGTGTTGTCCATGAAGCAACAAACCCCTTTGTTGTTGCTTTCCGTAGAAACAAGGATATTGCTGCCTTTTTAGATGAGAGAGAAAAACCTGAGGAAGATGCATCTGCTGAAACCTCAAGCAAGGATGCAATTGAAGTTAGTTCTGTAGATGATACATCAGAAAATGTTGAGGCTGCTGCTCCCTCCATTGAGGAAGAAGCAGAGAATCCAAACCGTGAAGAAGTTGCAATGACGAGTCAAGATGGTGCTCTCGTTGCAGAAGATGAGACAGCAGCAGTATCTGCTGTCCCTTTGGCTGACAATGAACAGACAGCAAGTGAGGCCTCTTCAGTTGTCCAGGAAGTTGTGGCAGAAACTCAACCTGAGATTGTTAGTGCAAAAGAAGATGTGCAAGTAGAGATTCCCGCTGATGAATCCATAGTGGAGACGTCTAGTCCTGACAGCAACCAGAGTGTTAGTGCCTCAAGTGCGGAAGATGAGGCAACAACACCAATACCTTCTCCCCCATCGGCTGAAGATGGAGAGACAAAAAGTGAGGTGTCTCCTCTTAGCCAAGAAACAGTAGTAGAAACTCCAGCTGAGGATGTTAGTGCAAAAGAGGATGCTCCTGTTGAAATCCCTACTGATGCAGCCAGTGTTGAGACGACTTCTCCTGAGGCTAATGGGAGCATCAATGACTCAAGTGGACCAAATGGATCTTCCCCTCAGGGAAGCGCCTCCAAAGGTGGCTAAAATTCCCGTCTGTTAGTTCCTAATTAAAATTAATATTTGCTGGATCTAAAAATATCTTAGTGCATATTATCACAACAATTTAAAGCTTTCAGGATGCCTTCTAAGTAACAGCATTTCTATTTCAAAATTATCTGTATCTTGTTTTTCTCCGTTTTAAAATCTCTAATGACAGTTTTGTGGAGCCTTTGGTTGAGTGAACGTCCCTGATTTTCTGAAGTGTATATGTAAGCACTATGAAGATTGATGTAACCAATTGAACTCAAAAACGAGTTTTCAGAAATTTATGGTCAATTTTTATATTCATACTACCAGCGTAAATGTTAAAGTGAGGTGTGGTTAGTTCGGGTTGAAGGATTATGTAATTTACCAAGATTTTCAAAGTGTAATTTCTCCGTGTCACAGACTTATATTTGGTTTTTTGTGAAACTTGTCTGGTGTTGTGAAGAACCCCTGCAAAAGCCATGTTCAGTCTAGAAGGTAAAACTGTGACAAACCTTTAGGATGCTATTAATTCTCAACTTTTTTTTCCTTACTTTTTCTTATAAATTTTTCCTGTGTTTCTGTGATGTCTAGGTATCTGAAGTCATTGTTTTGGTCTAAAATGCTTCTAGATTCCCCACCCCACATTCCACTGCAAAAACAAGAATGAAAGATAAAAGAACTTACAAAGCATTAATTGTTGGATGTTTGTGAAACCAATCTACCCCAGGAGAAAGGCTGAAGCTCTCTTCATAGTGATAAGACATGCTTTAATGAAAGTATAGAACTATTTGTTCTTTTTTTCCTTTAGAAGCCAGATAAATTACATGTCAAAGACTAATGTGCTCGGCTGATTCCTTTAAATAGGATCATGCATAAGCGCTTATCATTGCCTTATTATTTACAGTTTCTGCATCCTTTTCTGTTTATGTTTGCAGCAGCTATATCCCCTGCTCTTGTAAAGCAATTAAGAGATGAAACAGGAGCTGGGATGATGGATTGCAAAAAGGCCCTATCTGAGACTGGAGGTGATATTGTTAAAGCACAAGAGTTTCTCAGAAAGAAAGGACTAGCCAGTGCAGATAAGAAAGCTAGCAGAACCACTGCTGAAGGGAGAATAGGTTCCTACATTCATGATAGCAGAATTGGTGTTCTGATTGAGGTGAATTGTGAGACAGATTTTGTTTCTCGGGGTGATATTTTTCGGGAGCTAGTCGATGATCTAGCTATGCAAGTGGCTGCATGCCCTCAAGTGGAGTACCTTTCTACTGATGATGTTCCAAAAGAAATTGTGAATAAAGAAACAGAAATTGAAATGCAGAAGGAAGATTTGTTGTCAAAACCTGAGCAAATCAGGTCAAAAATTGTTGAAGGGCGGGTTAATAAGAGGCTTGGAGACTTGGCTTTGCTCGAGCAGCCATACATCAAGGATGATAAAGTGGTTGTTAAGGATTGGGTGAAGCAGACGATTGCAACAATTGGAGAAAACATAAAAGTGAACAGGTTTGTGAGGTACAACCTTGGTGAAGGATTGGAGAAGAAATCCCAAGATTTTGCAGCTGAGGTGGCTGCCCAAACTGCAGCAAAACCATCCTCTGCACCAGAACAGGAGAAGCCTGCTGCAGCTGAAATTGAAAAACCAGTTGAGAAGTAAGTTATACCATGATTTTCCTCTTGTTACAGTATATTATATAATATTATCCTATTTTACTTAGACTCGATTAGAAGTGCCTGACATAGATGTTGGGTATGTGTATGTATCAGACATGGGCCTACACGTTCATTTTATGGATATTTTGCATGTTTTGGTGTCATACCACGTCTAGGTGTAGAGTATCCGACACTAGTACAGTAATACTTAATAACATATGAAGGTTTAGAGTAACATATATATTATTTAATGGCTCTTGTCACAGACCTCACGTTGCTAAATATGAAATGGTATGTTGTGTGCTATCTGTCAATTCATACCTTTAGAATTTACAAAATTAGAATTCGGTCTTTCCTACAATCATTCGAACAACCTTGTAAAATTATAAGTAATACATACTACAGTATTTTAACCTCATTCTATGATACTTCAGCTTTTCTGATAGATAACCAGTCTATCTCCCTGCTTAGATTCTGTGTATGACTTTTATTAGAAGTAATATATCCCTTGATCTACTGATTTACATTTGTAATGACATGTTGAAAGTGATTTACTTCATAAGTGATACATACTGATATATGTACTTGCACCCATGCAAAATTTGAGCATATATCACAACTTATTTGGAAGTTTAAGGTTCAAGTCTACTGCATCACTGCTGATCTTGTTATGAATTGTGTAATAATAAAAAAAGAGTTAATATTGAAGTCTGGAATTTTAAATTTCTAGCAATCTATTTCAAGCACTCCTTTAGATACATAAACAATAAAAATACATGCGCATATTCTTGCACTCATTGGTGCAGGCATGGATCAGTAATTTTTGCATTCAAAATGGACATTATATTCCAACAATTGTTTTCAAGAGTCTGATTACTCACAGATTATGTGGGATCACTAATTAATCAAGGAGTGAAAGCTGTTTAGGTTCTAGTCAGTTATTGATGTTTTTGTTTAGCATGAATTTCATGGCACAGCCTATATTCTCTTATTCTTTCGTTTTCATGGTTGAGAACTTAAGATTGTGAAAGGGATCCCACAAAATTTAATTATCTGGTATCATACTTTACTAGCAGTAAAACAGCAGTCTCAACTTCAGCTGCTCAGTAATCTATAATCTGTATTGCATCTCCACATCAGATATAATATTCCCTAACTTAAAACTACAGCCATTAAATGAAGTTAAGGATTTTGAGTCTCCTTGCTTAGCACCTAGGCCATACACATACTTATTCATAGGCAACACTTTATGTATTCTTTAGCTTGTCTGCAATACCCTCCTATATAACACTGACAGAATAGATCATATATAAGCGCCTCTGGTAAAACTTGTACTTAGTTTGAATTTAAACTTCTGTAGATTGGTGACAGATCGATAGTCATCACATATGTTATTCTCTTCTTATTTGTCCAAGTAACATGCTGATCTCAATTTCATTTACTTCAATGCATAATGCAGGGCACCAACAGTAGCAGTCTCAGCTGCCTTAGTCAAACAATTACGAGATGAAACTGGAGCAGGCATGATGGATTGCAAGAAGGCTCTTGCTGAGACTGGAGGGGACCTTGAGCAAGCTCAAGAGTATCTTAGAAAGAAGGGCCTATCTAGTGCTGAAAAGAAATCTAGTCGGCTTGCAGCTGAGGGAAGAATTGGGTCCTATGTTCATGACGCTCGCATAGGAGTGCTTCTTGAAATTAACTGTGAAACTGACTTTGTGGGTAGAAGTGAAAAGTTCAAGGAATTGGTGGATGACTTGGCTATGCAAGTTGCAGCTTGCCCACGGGTTGAGTATGTATCTGTCGAGGATATATCAGAAAGTATAGTGAGCAAGGAAAAGGAGATTGAGATGCAGAGAGAAGATATATTATCAAAGCCTGAGAATATCAGGGAGAAAATTGTTGAAGGGAGGATTTCAAAGCGGTTAGGAGAACTTGCTCTTTTGGAGCAGCCCTACATCAAAGATGACAGTATCCTGGTGAAGGACCTTGTGAAACAAACTGTGGCTGCACTCGGGGAGAACATTAAAGTTCGGAGGTTTACCCGGTACACCCTTGGTGAGCAAATTGAAAGTCCTAACACAGAAACTGAAGCTTCAGAAGTTGAGATTTAGTGTTCAATAGATAATATCATAGCATCTGAAGAAAGTTTCCAAATAACCTGTTCAGGTTGGTGGGACTTTTGAATTCAGAAAGGATAATCTAATTCTTTCGAGTTTGTTGTATCTTTAAAAGGCAGTTTTTGTTTGCTTTTATTGCCTTTGTCTTCTATAATCATCATATATATAGCTCAAGTACCAACAATTATGGTAGTATGGAGAGAAGTCGATGTAGAGACAGAAAGAGGCTGCATATTCAATTGTATTTTTAAGTTGGGAGGAAACCATAAAACCTTTTTGTAAAGGTGTTTTTGAGGCTTTTATGTATATGTTTATTTTTCACATAGATTACTCAGTGTGTACAACATTTCCAGCTAGTCTGTTCAGCTCTGTAAATCATCCAATTATTTGGCAAAATGAATTATTACTCTGGTTTTCTTCTGTGAACAATCAATCTGATGCATAAATCTTACTTCATATGGCCGTCTATCAGTTCGTTTGAAGCTAATGTGTAGTGAGGCCAGTGACCAGACTTTTCTTCTCGCACTCAGTTACATGCTATTGAGTTTTTGTATATAACAGAAGAAAAAGTTGTTGGCAACGAATAATACAGTGTATAATCCATGTGCTGCAAGCGTCTAAATAATCCCAACTCAAGATTGCACAAAAACAATCTCAATAACTAAAATTTGATCTTACTATAATCACGATCATAAAACAATAATTTCAAAAACTAGTACGAGTAGTATTCAAGTATTAAAAAAAAAATAGTTTCAGGGAATCTCTAAGAAAGAATAAATAGCATTGTGTAGCTTTCAATTGTGTCAGACTAGGTATTTTACAGGGGATAATGTGTATATTTTCTAGTTGCCTGACTTGACATTTGAAGAGTCAAAATTCCTGTCTTTACTTCCTACAAGAGAAACAATTTCTGAAACATTAATTCATGCCAAATTCTGTTGGCGAAAGATTTAAAGAAATCACGACCATCTTCAACATTAAACGCCATTTCCAGCTGCTGGTGTGGGCACAAATCGCCAGAGGTCTACTGCAATATCAACCTCTTTTTTCTTATGGAACTTGTACAGTTGTGGGACATCATATCGAAGCTGGAAAAAATAAACAGAGAAAATGAAATGAATAAAAACTGCTATATCCTGCAGGAGACCATTATATTTGCTCTCTACAGAGGAAAATTAGCAGTACTAACCTCACACAATACCTCAGCACTTTTAGCATTATAGTCTCGCAAGGCTGTCTTTCCTACATGCTGAACATTGGCACAACCAAAGAAGAGATGTAAAGAAAACGAAGGTTAAGAATACACTAGTAATTCATAGCATAGGCTCTGAACTCAACCTACTAAAATTTTTGCATTACATGTATACAGAACTCTACAGAATCATGTAAACGTTATAAGTCACAAACTAGCTCAGGGATATCATATCTACAAGAAAGGTCAACAAGGAAACAGCTCATGAGCTCATTAGATAAACCAGAGGGCCAAACCAACCCTTAACTATAACTTTCAACAAGTTACTAGTAAACCCAATTCCTTACATGTAGAGATTAGATCACAGTTTCAATTTAGAAGACTCACATCTCTTGTTGTTGTTTTATGCAAAGAATATACTGCTTGAGAAGCCACCTGAGAAACAAGTTTCAAGAAGTAAAAATCAGCAATCACAAAGAAGTGCACCATTTGAAAATATATCTAGCTAGCTGCAATACAGTACCTTCAAAGCTACAGACAGAAAGTCCATGTCAGCTCCCTTATTGCGGGTTCCAAAAGGAGGATTCATCACAACTGTATCAATGGTTTTCCCTATAATAATTCACTAATATTGTTTCAGAACATGAAATCTAACTGTCAGTTTTGATGTAATAGCGAAAAAAATACAATGTGTAACTAAGTGCTGACAAAAAGAAACACTAGCATAATGTCAGAAGAAAATTAACTGAATTCTGCAGACGCCCCTCAAAATAAATTATAGGTCACACGAACAAAACAAATAAATCCTTTTAACTTTAATTGTATTAAGAGGAAATAACTTAACAGGTTCCCTGAATTTGGTAAATGTAGTTAATATTGACAAGTTATCAAAGAATTTAAAGACAGCATGTGTTATATTTGTGCCCTCTCTGTTTGCGACTAAGTGATACCTCCTTGAAGTCTTATTTTACATATTTCCTCATCTAAGAAATTCAAAATTTACATGAATAATCAACAATGGCACTGAGCATAGCGCTTCAGAGTTTGTGAGGCTCGTCAATAAGAATATAAGATCCAAAGCGGTGGACCTCCAGACAAACTTCTGACAAAAAACACTTTCTATACTCTGTGAAGAATCAAGATTCAACCCTTACTTGCACCTTCTGCCCACTACCAATAATAGACCTTCAGGATCACCGTCCATGGTTCAGAAAAGGCCAGTATAGCAGGATTGCATAAGACTTCAAATATTAAAAAGACCTTGTTCAATTCAAAGCATAGAAGTGCATAAATGACAGCATTTACTATTCTACATAATGAATAAGCAAATAATTACTGAAGCCATGCATTTAAACCATGCCTGAGACACTGGAACATAAAATTCAAAGCAAGAAAGCCATGACTGCCTCTAAGGTGCCTCAAGGAGCATCAGCATTGAATCAGGAATCTTGAAGTTCTATTTTCCTATGATATGGCATTATGTTGCTAATTTTTGCATTACTATGAGAATTTTGATGGTTTTATTGCTTACTTATGCCCTCAACTAAGGAGTAAACCTTTAACCTCTTAACTTATGCCAAGGCTCTAGGATCCTTGCCTACTCGATGTGCCTCATGTCTTTCAAAACAATATTGAAGATTGAAGCTTTCTAATAAATCAATACTTCTTGAAGGAGCATATTCACATAAACTGCTAACAGAATTTAACAGTATGTAGGTGACACTTAACATTTCAGGCAATAATTTTTTTTTAAATGAACTTGAAATTACATTAGAGAAGAAATCACAGGGGTATAGGGGAATATTACCTCGGCATCCCAAGTTCCGGATATTACATTGGACAAAATTCATATCCAACTGCATATATATACAATTAAACATATGGTTAAATCATAAAAACAAATTCAACAATATATACCAGTATTGATGCTGGGTTAAAAATCAATTTAGTTACAATTTTGCCATCAAATTCCTGCTGATTATGGATTATATGTTATCCTCTTCCTCTTAACATCCACCCCTTTCAACTTTCTAGTAGACTAAAAACTTATAAGGAAAGCCAACAAAAAGCTACAAGCCTACAACCATAAGAGCAAAGGAGAAGATATTAAGTTCTAATTAGGAGAATTTAGGAGAAATGAATGAAGTCAGTAACACTAAGCAAAAACCATTGCTTGTCATCAGGTGGCATGATTAAATTGGAGATTATTTGACTTGTTTAGGCCACTTAAGGCTTAAGCTCAATTGATAATCGAAAGCGATCAACATCAACTAAATGTGAAGCTCAATTTTGATATACTGAGAAGAAAGACCTCTAATTAGCTTAAACTCAGCCTAGCCAAGTAAGTGAGATTCCAAATGTAAAACACATAAATCCATCAAGCTCCACGAACACCCTTAGGTAGTCAACCACTCTTCAAATTATAATCACAGTTTGTCGGGGGTTATTTGATATTTCGTAATTGATACAGAGTATAAGTAATGCCCATCTAGTTCCTTATACCTCAAAATTTCAATAAACAGGCATCAAAAGGCCAGTAGCATCAGCATATTGAATAATGTGTTTAAATTACAAAACTACACCACATATAAATATATAATATAATACCTCTAGATCTTCTGCATTTATGTATGCAATTTCAAGGGATTCAGCATCCACATCGAAACCTATAACATGACTGTTGATAGCAATCAACTTCAGCCCAAGAAAAAAGAAGACAACAAACAAACAAACATGACTGATGTACTTCACACATTCAATCATTTGATAAAAGCTCGATTTTCGGACAAAGTACATTAAACATCAAATCAAGCACTCGTGCTCACAGAAATGCTAGAAAAACTCACTCTGCACCCAAAAGAGCAGCAGCAATTCCTAATGTGCCACACCCACAACCAAAATCAGCCACCACCTTATCACTAACATCTCCAAATGAATTCTCTGCCTACCCAATTCAAGAAACAAAAATACCCATCAATTATCGGTCCAGTAAATTGATCATACTTCGAAAAGATTACAACTTTCAAATGATATCAACAACAAAATAATGTTATACTAATAAAGAAAGTAATGGGATTATTACATACAGTGTATAACATTCGAGAAGCAATATGAGGGCCAGTAGGGTATTGTTCAAGTTCAATCTGCAGCAGCAAAGGAGTAATATCCAACACTAATTAACATATGTAAAATCTTGAATTTGAAAAATGTTGTGCAATAATTTATTGAAATAAAGAAAAATTGGGACGAATTAGAAAATTGAGAAGAATTTGTATGTTGGGTTTTACAGAAATTTATACCTTTGGTGAAGCAAACTGATCAAGATTTCCGAGGAGACCCTCTAATTGCTTCAGCTTCATCTTTCTGCCAAATTTCCAAGAACAGTATTTACTTCGTATTATTTTGGGAAAACCCAAGGTTTTGACGAGGGGTTAAAGAAAGAACATTAGCCGGATTGACAAATATAAAAGAAATGGTAGTATTGCGCATATACTCCATTCTTCATAAAAATTGATACGTTGACTTTCATTATAATTACTCCCTTCGTTTCATAATATAGTTTTTGTTTATTATTTTTCACGGTATTTAAGAAATAGGAGATAAAAGTGGATGAAGTATATTAATAAAAGTGAAAAGTACAATTATAGAAAAAAGTTAGAGAGAGAAAGTGGAAAAAAGTACAAGGTATGTGCAAAATTCAAGGGTAATTTAGGAAGTACAATGAATAAAGTTAAAAAGTGAGGGTATAATGGTTACATACTATCCAAAAATAGAAAGAGAAACAACATTTTGGATCTCCAAAATAGGAAAACAGAAACAATATTATAAGACGGAGGGAGTATAAATTTATGACCGTGTTTGTTTGTTATTATGTTGTATATAAAATCAAAATCTTAATAAGTAAAATGTCAGTTGAATTTGTGTTTATTTTAATGTATAGTATTGAAATATTATCAAGATTTACTAATTTCACCAATACATATTATATTTACTGGTGGTCAAAGTTATAATAAAAGTTAAATTATGTTAATTATTTACACCGAAGGATGTTTTATTGTTGTGTGGGTCGGATTGGGTTTGAGCCACATTTTCATTTTTATGAAATCACAATAATTTGCATAACAATAATGCTTACGGAGTATATTTGACACTAAAGCTAGAACGTGAAAACTGAGTAATATTTGGTTTAGGCACACAAGTATAATACAACAATTATGATGACATGTGGGCT